CTTCTGTGAACTTCTCGTGGAGTGGGAGTCAATTGCTGCGCAGGAGTCGGTGGAGTATCGTCGATGAGGGCTGGTGCCGTTGAAGGACCCGTGAGTGGTGTCGTAGTTGTTGTTGCTGCTACCGATGTTGTCTCTGTTGCTGTCGATGTTGTCTCTGCTACTGCCGATGTTGTTTCTGCTGCTGTCGATGTTGTCTCTGCTTGCCAAATTGTTGCTAACGCTCTTGTTCTTTCTACTTCAGGTATGGTGTGTGAGTACAAAATCCTTCAGGACTGAAGTCGGGGTCGAGATCTGGCGGATGTGTCCAAGAGGTGAAGTTGACGATGGCGTCGCTGTCGGCGGTGCCTTGGTCTGGAACGAAGTCAAGAACGAAGACATTATTCTTCAAGACCGCCTTGCCGATGTAGAGTCCACCTTTCCCGTGGTACAGCTTGAACTCCTGAGTGATGCTATCTGCTTCGAGATGAATTCCCTTCGCCATTAGTTGACTGACGCTGAGTAAGTTGTAACCGAGTCCTTCTGCGATTAAGACCTTCGACATTTGCTGAATGACGTTGGTTTCTCGAGATTGAAGTTGAACTATCCCTTGTCGTTGTGTGTGCAGGTTCTGGTTGTTGGCGACGGTGATTACGACTTCGCGTTGAAGTTGGTGTTCTTGTTGAACGAAGCGACCCGAGGAGCACATGTGCTGTCCGCACCAGCTGTCCAAGAACCAGGTGTCTTTTCCGGATGGCTCGCTCTGGGCGATGGCTGCATACGTCGGGTTAGGCTCCAGTGATTCTTGGCGTGGGATGCTTTTGTCGAGTTGTTCTTCTGGTGAGTAGTATGGTGGCGATCCGGTGATGCAGGAGTCTGTCGTTCTTGTCATGCAGCTCATGATGTTTCTTGTACCTTGTGCAGGTGTTGTGGTCGATGTCGTTGAGGACTGTACTTGAGTGGTGGGATGCGCCTGTGTAGAAGCCAGTTGACTGCTTGAGGGCCGAAGTTGACGTTGCGGTGATGTTGACTGCTGTTGATTCGGGCAGTGAGTTTGAGGATGTCCTGACATCTTGCAGAGATGGCAGAACGGTGGTACGTACTGTTGAGTTTGATATCTGTTCTGTCGATTGTCGTTGTTGTTGTAGCGCCGTTGAGTGTGAAACGCGAACTCTGGTGCTGACACTCTCTTCGTGTAGGTCCATGTCCTGCTGTTCAGCGTGAATTTCGGCACAGAGTGCCGCTTCGGAGATCTTTCCGTGAGCTCGGAGAGAGCGGAGCGCCAATGAGGACCGAGGCCAGAGATGATAACTGTCACGAAGGCTTCTTCGGATATTGATCCTCCGCATTGAAGGAGTCTGTCGCGCAGTCCACGACAACGGCTGATATACGCCATCCCCTTTTCGCCGGGTTTCATTTCCAGTGTTGTCAGCTGCGCCATAAGACGACTTTGATTAACACAGTCTGTTGCTTGATACAAGTTCTTCAGGTGGTCGTACGCGAGCTCGGCGGAGTTACCGTATCCTCGATAAGACCGAATGTTCTGCTGCTCGTTTGGCGTTATACTTCGTAGAAGTATCGTGTACGCCATCAACGACTGATAAGTGTACTGCTGCTTGTCGTACTGCATCCCGTGTATTGGGTATGGCAGGGACCCGTCGAAGAATCCAAGAATTTGCGCGCCCTCCATCATCAACTCGAACTCGAATGACCAGGTATAGAAGTATTTTCCATCAAAGGGTGTCGATGTCTGCAGCTTCAAAACGTGTGCGAACTGTGATTGAACCTGAAGCGCGTCCAGTGTCTTCTCTTGTCCAGGTGAAGGTTGTTGGTATGGCATGAAGCTGATGGAGCCACGTTGAGGTTCGTACGGGGCAAAGGTAGGTTGCTGCTTGTTTCCGCGCGCATAGGATGAACCGTCAAGGCTCATTGGAGTAACCCCATTGTTGCTGTCGCTGTTGTTTGATTGCGCAGGTGCTGCTTGTTGATGCTGCTCGTAGAAGGAGATGAAGGAGAAGAATTTCTCCATCACGCTTGGATCGAGGCCTGTTGGTTGATTCGCAGGAGTTTCGGTAGACTCCGCAGCTGGTCTTGTAGCTGTACCTTCTTCTGTCTGTAGGCTAGAAGCTGGAGGTGGAGTAGGAGTAGTGCTGGGAGATCCGTTGGAGGAACTCCTCTCCTTTTGAGTTGCCATGCCTTGCGCTGTTGTAGGAGTTTTTGTAGTGGATCTTGCCTTGGAGGCTCTCATACCATGTTGGGCTGAGAAAAGCCCTTAGGGTCTTTCAAGGCTAACATCTGGAGTAAAAATGTTGTAATTGCGGAAGCTATAATAAGATTATTGAACCACCTTGCACTAGTATGTGAGAGCAAGATAGATTGATTAAAGCAAAGAGATACAAATATATGATTATAAGGAATACGGAGAGGTGCGATTAACTGTTTTTTTGCTGTTGCGGTTCGATACAGTGTCGAATTGGGCAACTGCTCAATACCGAGTCAGTTGTTTGTCCTTGCTGTCGCGCTGTATTTCGTCGAATCAAAGGTCAGCGACCTTTTACCTTCGCGTAACCTCCAGCTGTTACGTTTTAACTTCCTTGGTTGACTCGCGCGTTGCTTCACTGTAGTCTGCTTCGTTCGTGTTATTACTTCGATACTTCAGAAGCGGTAACTATTAGTTTCCAACAAGTGTGCCACTCAAATATTCCCCTTCTGCTGCGCGAATAACACTACTAGAACAAAGGCACAATTGTACCACCTAGACTAGACAGAACAAACTGGCCACCATCTTGCGTAAGACAAATCAATGCGTTACCTAAATTGCTACACTGAAATGGCACAGCCTACAGGCAGTTCCTAGAGAATTTGCATCGGCCTTACCGTACATCATCTAGCACCTAGGGTACCTCTCGAGCTTTCATTCAAGAGCTTGAGAGGTGGTGGCGGCCGTGGCATGGCAGACACATCAAACCTAATTGTGGTAGCATGCATGCAAGGGAGCATGGTGGGGGGAGCATAGAGGCCTGGCACTAACAGTACTGTAACCTGATAGAATCTACCGGTGATTACATTACTCCCCTCCAGGCATCAACAGCAGTTCAGAGGAGAAGCATGGAGTGGAACTAAGGAGCGTACCGGCCTAGAGAGTGACAGGGTGTCTAAGGCGGGGTGACAGGGTCACGATATGGGAGGTTTTGGCCGCTGTTTGAAGGCAAGTTGAGCCCTGCGTATCGGGCATGGCAGCAGCATGGCAGTAGAGAAGGAGGATGACACTCAAGCAGTCATTGTAAGTGGGAGGCTGCGGCCGAGGAAGGACTTGAGCATCAACCACTTGATGCATGGCGGCTTGCAGGCATGGCAGTACAGTAGCAGCACAGAGGCATGTTTGTCAAGCGGTCATGATAATCGGGAGGCTCCGACCCAGGATGAAGGACCTGAGCATCAATCTCTCGATGAATGGAGGAAAGGCAGCATGTTTCTCAAGCGGCAGCACAGAAGCAGCACAGAAGCAGCACAGAAGCAGCACAGAAGCAGCACAGAAGCAGCACAGAAGCAGCACAGAAGCAGCACAGAAGCAGCACAGAAGCAGCACAGAAGCAGCACAGAAGCAGCACAGAAGCAGCACAGAAGCAGCACAGAAGCAGCACAGAAGCAGCACAGAAGCAGCACAGAAGCAGCACAGAAGCAGCACAGAAGCAGCACAGAAGCAGCACAGAAGCAGCACAGAAGCAGCACAGAAGCAGCACAGAAGCAGCACAGAAGCAGCACAGAAGCAGCACAGAAGCAGCACAGAAGCAGCACAGAAGCAGCACAGAAGCAGCACAGAAGCAGCACAGAAGCAGCACAGAAGCAGCACAGAGGCATGTTTCTCAAGCCGTCATGATGAGTGGGAGGCTCCGACCCAGGAAGAAGGACTTGAGCATCAATCTTTCGATGCCATCTGGCGACCACTGATAGGTCGTTATGTCCGATATGATTTCCCTGAGAAAGTGGAGGAGGCGATGGGAAGGGAGAGGAGGGATGAGCAAGTATACGTCATTGTGCAGGGCTTTAAATGATGAGCAGGGCTTTAAATGATAGGACTTGAGCATGGCTTTAAATGATAGGACTTGAGCAGGGCTTTAAATGGACTTGAGCAGGGCTTTAAATGATAGGACTTGAGCAGGGCTTTAAATGATAGGACTTGAGCAGGGCTTTAAATGATAGGACTTGAGCAGGGCTTTAAATGATAGGACTTGAGCAGGGCTTTAAATGATAGGACTTGAGCAGGGCTTTAAACGATAGGACTTGAGCAGGGCTTTAAATGATAGGACTTGAGCAGGGCTTTAAATGATAGGACTTGAGCAGGGCTTTAAATGATAGGACTTGAGCAGGGCTTTAAATGATATGACTTGAGCAGGGCTTTAAATGATAGGACTTGAGCAGGGCTTTAAATGATAGGACTTGAGCAGGGCTTTAAATGATAGGACTTGAGCAGGGCTTTAAACGATAGGACTTGAGCAGGGCTTTAAATGATAGGACTTGAGCAGGGCTTTAAATGATAGGACTTGAGCAGGGCTTTAAATGATAGGACTTGAGCAGCGCTTTAAATGATAGGACTTGAGCAGGGCTTTAAATGATAGGACTTGAGCAGGGCTTTAAATGATAGGACTTGAGCATCAACCCCTCGATGCCATCTGGCAACCACTGATAGGTTGTTATGTCCGATATGATCTCCCTGGATAAGCGAGAAGGAAAAAGGATTAGTGTGTGGTGCCAAGCCCAGCAAGTTTAGAGAGCGAAAAGTTTCATCATCACCAATGAGGGTCTACGGGTGCAAGTTTTAACCGGCAACAAATACCGCACGCATGAGATTTGTTCTTGTCAGGTAGTTGTCACTCATTGAGTGACATCTACCTGTGTGAGGTGTGAGGAACTCAAGATATGCATTCTTGAGCGTGCGGGCAAAGCGGATTCTCGTCTTCTTCCTCCGCGAGTGTGTCGCTGTGCGTGTGTACAAGCAGTAAGCACCAAACATAGATTGTTACTCACCTGTGGGGTGTGAGGAACTCCAGGTATGCGTTCTTGAGCGTGCGTGCAAAGCGGATCCTCGTCTTCTTCCTCTGCGAGTCGCTGATCACGATCCACCTGTTCTGCTCCAACGCCACCTCCTCAAACGCCGAGTTGAACTTCTTCAGCCTGAGAATAGCAACAGAGAGAGATGGTGCAATAACGACAGAGATGAGACAAGTATGAGAATTGTAACTGTTCATCACCGTCCACTTGCTCTCTTCCAGAGCTGCCTCGTCAAGTGGCAGATTGAACTTTCTTAGCTCTGCTCATCACCATCCACTTGCTTTCACACGCATCCTCTCTCAGAGCTGCCTCGTTAAAGGGCGGATTGAATTTTCTTCAGTCTGAAAATAACGAGAGAGGATGCGTCCCATGTGGGATCCCAAGCTTCTCATTACGATTCAACAGCTTTCTCCAGAGAGAAAAGGATTCCAAGTCAGCACAGGTCAACGCAAGTAAGCAAAAGTCAACACAGATATTAGTCAAGGGTCAACGGTCAACAACACACCTGGATTTGACTGCATCCGCGCTGAGCTTTGCAGACACCTCCTCAGGCGCCAAGCATGCCATGAGCTGGTGGGAGGGGAGGATGGAGAGAGAAATAAGCAGGAGAGTCATATAAGCAGGCGAGGGGGAAGTGAGTGAGTGGGCGAGAAAGGCATCAAAAGCAGGAGCACAGACACATTATAGGCACGGGCACATGCATGGTGTGATTATACAGAGGTTCTCGATACAGAGGTTCTCGATACAGAGGTTCTCGATACAGAGGTTCTCGATACAGAGGTTCTCGATACAGAGGTTCTCGATACAGAGGTTCTCGATACAGAGGTTCTCGATACAGAGGTTCTCGATACAGAGGTTCTCGACAAAATCCACTCACAGCCTTGATCCAAGATTGCCCCATAATCTGCAACACAGTCTCCCAGGGGCTTAGGGCTTCTGGAAATCCGTGCAGGAAACCTCTTGCTCACGAATGCACTCACCTTTGCCAGGCCTGCCTTATCAAAGGCTGCCTCATACGCTGCAATGCGGTCCTGCTGCTTCAGTGCGTCCTTCATCCTCGTTGTGACACTGGTGGAGGGGAGAGAGGGAAAGAGAGGAGAGCAACGTGGGGCACAAGGTGACTTTTGGGTGGACTCAAAGTGACTTTTGAGTCGACTCAAGAGAGGAGAGCAACGTGGGGCACAAGGTTTTTTCTTGTTTGTTTCCTGTCAGAGGCAGAAGAACCCACAGCAGGTTGCCACCCACCACTCACATGGCCCCCCATGCCCCACTGACATGCTGGCAGCCACATAGTGCGCGTTGTTCATCACAAACACTGCTCCCTATACTCACACACATGCTGCGACACTCACATTTTCCACTCATGCACTCACATGCTGCGACACTAACATTTTCCACTCACTCATGCACTCACATGCTGCGACACTCACATTTTCCACTCATGCACTCACATGCTGCGACACTCACATTTTCCACTCACTCATGCACTCACATGCTGCCTGCCACATAGTGAGCGTTGTTCATCACAAACAGCGCCCCCATCGCAGGGTCCTGTATCGCCCGCCCTCTCGCCTCCATGTTGAATAACAACGAATCCAGCAACCCCTCCATCTCCGCCGCCAGCTGGCGCCTGCCGCCCGCACTCGGATGCTGCAGCTGATTCCCCCCTTGACTTGCTTGACCCCCACCTTGACTCGTTTGACCTCCGCTTTGACCGCCGCTTTGACTTGATTGACTGCCTTGACTGCCCTGGCTACCCTGCATGCCTCTGCTGCTGTGACCCCTCTGCCCGCTATGCACTGCTCCTAGTTTACTCCCCCCCGTCTTGCTCCCTCCGCTGCTCCCCCCCGCCTTCCCCCCTCCGCTTCCCCCTCCCGCTCCCCTCTCCCTGAAACTCGCCCCGCCTATAGTAGCCAGGCCTATGAGCCTCTTATCTGCTGCGTGCCTCTTATAGACCATTTCTAGGGTTCCATAGTGGTCGGCACGGCTCTCCCGATCCATTAGTTGTGCGATGAAGTTAATAACGTAGCTTGTCACTTTATGCACGCCAATATCCACTTCTTCATCGTTGGTTGTTTTCTGCTCCGAGGACTTCCAGTGAATCAGCCTATAAGGGGTATGTGCGAGGCAAAGCAGTGTGAAAAGAAGGGGAGAAATTGTGGCTCCATCAATCATCACCTCATTATTCATAAAACGTGCCTGAGAATGAGTTTTGAGGCTTGTGTGAAATTCCCCTCAAGGATTTCAGCTCCATGGTTTACCACCTTAGAAAACTATAGCACTGCCTGCACCCACCATTCCTCACCTGAGAAGTTTCCTCTTCATGGTGGTCCAGAGTGGCAAAGATGGCTCCGGCAAAGAGCTGCGAGAGAGAGGCGCACTCCTCCACCCACCCACCCCAGGGAGACTTGGAAAAACAGACTCCCTTCCCTCACCTGAGCAGCTTCTTCTTCATCGGTGAACTACCAGACGCCTGATTTGCCGGCACGAATGCTGCCACGTCCCTGAGAATGCGGTTCAGATCGTCCAGAGTGGCGAAGATGGCTCCGGCAAAGAGCTGCGAGAGGCGCTGCCAGAGCTTGAAGGGATCGTCTGAATCGCTCTTGGGGAGGGCGAGGAAGACTGGTAGGGCCTGGGGGGGAGAAGGTGAGGAGTGCACGTGGGAGGAGGACGGGAGCGGGAGTCGAAGGAAAAAAGGAAGGGGAAGGGAGGAAATGGAGTGGTTGAGAGAGGGGGTTGAGATCGTCCAGAGTGGCAAAGATGGCTCCGGCAAAGAGCTGCGAGAGGCGCTGCCAGAGGTTGAAAGGATCGGAGTCACTCTTGGGGAGAGCGAGGAACACGGAAAGGGCCTGCTGCAAGAAGGGAAGGGATGGAGTGGAGAGGAGGAAGGAGGGGCTGAGATGTGAGAGGCGCTGCAGAGCTTGAAGGGATCGTCGGAGTCGCTCTTGGGGAGAGCGAGGAACACTGGGAGGGCCTGTTATAAGGAGTGCAGAGAAGGAAGGGGGGGAAGGGGAAGAAGAGGAAGGAAACAAGAGCTGTGAGAGGCGCTGCCAGAGATTGAAGGGATCGTCTGAATTGCTCTTGGGGAGAGCTAGGAAGACCGGGAGGGTCTGATGGGGAGAGGGGAGGTAAGGGGGAGGGGGGCAAAAAATCACCACGACCTAGTAAGGTGGCTACCACTTAACAGTACTGGGCGTACCTGGGTATGCCTCCAGCAGGGGCTGCCATAGAGACAACCACCTCCTGCACTGGAGAATCATCTGGTTACCACCTCTAGTAACCCACTAACCTGTGGTCCTCTGGGGAGTGACCGTCTGGTTACCACCTCTAGTAACCCACTAACCTGCGGTCCTCTGGGGAGTGACCGTCTGGTTACCACCTCTAGTAACCCACTAACCTGTGGTCCTCTGGGGAGTGACCGTCTGGTTACCACCTCTTGTAACCCACTAACCTGTGGTCCTCTGGGGAGTGACCGTCTGGTTACCACCTCTTGTAACCCACTAACCTGTGGTCCACTGGGGAGTGACCGTCTGGTTACCACCTCTAGTAACCCACTAACCTGTGGTCCTCTGGGGAGTGACCGTCTGGTTACCACCTCTTGTAACCCACTAACCTGTGGTCCTCTGGGGAGTGACCGTCTGGTTACCACCTCTTGTAACCCACTAACCTGTGGTCCTCTGGGGAGTGACCGTCTGGTTACCACCTCTAGTAACCCACTAACCTGTGGTCCTCTGGGGAGTGACCGTCTGGTTACCACCTCTTGTAACCAAACCCTAAACACTAACCTGAGGGGAGAGGTCAGCCATGGTGAGGTATGCCTCCAGCAGGGCAAAGATCTTCTCAGGGGCGCTCTTAGACGCAGCGATGGCTACAGCATTCACCTCTCATTATAACTGGTTACCACCTCTAGTAACTAGCTGGTTACCAACTCTTGTAACCCACTAACCTGCGGGGAGAGGTCAGCCACGGTGCGGTATGCCTCCAACAGGGTGAATATCTTCTCAGGGGCGCTCTTAGAGGCCGCAATGGCTGCAGCATTCGCGCACAGTGCACACAGGGTCGATTTCACGCCGCCCACCGACCCAACTAGATGCCGAAACACGCTGTCCGGACTCATCAGGTGCTCCCCGGGTTTCCGGGCAACCTGCTCCATGCGCTTGCTGCTGCTCTCTGGTGTATTCTCAGGTGGATTCTCAGGTGTATTCTCAGGTGCTCCCTCAGGTGTGTTCTCAGGTGTGCTCTGGGATGTGCTGTTGGGCAAGCTGTGGGTTGTGCTGTCATTCGCCTTCAGCTCCTCAGGAACAGGCTCAGGAGTTTCGTCAGGTGTTTCACACATGGGGCCAGGATGCAAGAGGAGGTCCGAGGCAGAGTCAGGAACGGCTGAGATCGAAGCGTTGGCAGGTGCAATAGCAGCGGTGGTGATGGTGGTAACAGCAGTGCCACCACTGCTGCTATTGCTGCTGTTGCTGGTAATGGTGGTGCTGCTGCTGGTATTGCTGGTGGGTGGAGAGGCGTCGAGAACGCCCTTGATAAGCTGATGCTCGGAGAAGAAGAGAACACGCAGCTGGTGGGGGAGGAGCATAGGGTTGAAACGCAAGGGGGGCAAGGGAGAGTAAGGGAGGGAGGGTACTGCTGCTATTGCTGGTGGGTGGAGAGGCGTCGAGAACGCCCGTGATGAGCTGATGCTCGGAGAAGAAGAGAACTCGCAGCTGGTGGGGGGAGGCAAAAAGGGCAAGGGGAGGCAAGGGAGGGTAAGGAAGGGTGAGGGAGGGTGATGGAGGGTGACGGAGGGGATGGGAGTGGAAAGGAGTTGAGTCAGATACGCCCTTGATGAGCTGATGCTCGGAGAAGAAGAAAACACGCAGCTGGTGGGGGGGAGGCAAAGTAAACAGATGGACGGGGTCACGGGGGTGGGAGGAAGAGGGTGAGAAGAGGGAGGAGAACTTTCATCGCAGCTTCACTCAACACTCTTTCGAGAAACACATGGCCCCACTGTGAGCCCCTCCCAACCCCCTTTCTCCCCCCCATCCCCGGCCCCCTCCCTCCCCTTCCTGGTGCAGCGCACTGCAATGCATGTGAACATATCATGTCATATCATATCAGATCAGATCATATCATATCATATCATATCATCGCTTCATGTGCCTCTCTCTCACTCCATGCCAGTGCACTGCATGCGATCACCATGTGCCCTCCCATGTGCCGCTCACTCACCAGGATGCTGGTATCTCTGATCCACAGCTTGATCAGCGGCTCCAGTTCCGTCCACGCCATGGCCTGTGTCTCCTCTGCGGTATATTCTTTCATGCTCACACTCTCTACCGCACTCGCCTCCGTTGCTTGGCGCGCCTTGCTGCCAGGGGCGCAAGGGAAGAGGAAGACAGTCAAAGAGACTCAAAGGGCATGAAGGGAAGGGTTATAAACCTGCCACACCATGGCATGCCCCACACAACACACGCCATGGCCTGCATCTCCTCTGCTGTGTACTCTTTCATGCTCACACTTTCCACCGCACTCGCCACCATTGCCTGCCTCGCCTTGCTGCACAGGGGCAGATAGAGGGCAGGAGGGACATAACGAGTGGTTTAGCCATGCCATGCCACGCCATGGCCTGCGTCTCCTCTGCTGTGTACTCCTTCATGCTTGCACTCTCCACTGTTGCTTGGCGCGCCTTGCTGCAAAAACACTCAAGGGAGGCACAAGGGAGGGGTTATAGACATGCCATGCTATGCCCTGTCACACCCTCCCGCACCATGGCCTGCGTCTCCTCTGCTATGTACTCCATCATGCTCGCACTCTCCACCGCACTTGCCACCGTTGCCACACTCGCCCACTCGCCCACTCGCCCACTCAATACCAGCCCACCTCACCTGCCACCCCACGCAGCGACTCACCAGTAGAGCACAGCAAAGTGCTGCTTCCCTCGCGCTCGGATGACCACAGCAGCCGCCCTGCTGAGCCACGGCACCTCTGCCACCGACAACCACTCCGCCCACTCGCCCACTCTCCCACTCGCCCACTCTCCCACTCGCCCACTCTCCCACCTGCCCACTCTCCCACTCGCCCAATCTCCCACTCGCCCACTCTCCCACTCGCCCACTGCCCCACTCGCCCACTCGCCCACCCGCCCACTCTCCCACTCGCCCACTCGCCCACTCTCCCACTCGCCCACTCTCCCACTCGCCCACTGCCCCACTCGCCCACTCGCCCACTCGCCCACTCTCCCACTCCACCCACTCGCCCACTCCACCGACTCAGTCTCTCCTCCCCTCCCATCCCACTCACTCACCAGTATACAGACGCGAAGTGCTGCTTCCCTCGCGCGCGGATGACTACAGCAGCCGCCCTGCTGAGCCACGGCACCTCTGCCACCGGCAACCATTCCGCCCACTCGCCCACTGCCTGTAGCTCCTTGCATATCGCTGCTGCTCCTGCTGCTCCTGCCGCTCCTGCTGCTCCTGCTGTTCCTGCTCCTGCTGCTGCTGCTGCTCCTGCAGCAGCTCCCTTACCCAACATATTTCCAATCCCAGCACCGGCAGTGCCAACAGCAGCAGCGGTAGCAGCGGTAGCAGCGACAGTGCCAGCGCCAGCAGCAACAGCGGCGGCAGTCTGAGCAGCAGGTTCGGCAGCAGCAGTGGCAGAGACTGCTCCTGCTGCTCCAGCTACTCCTCCTGCTGCTGCTTCTGGGGCTGTTTCCACTGCTGCTACTGCTGCGACGACAGCATCTGCATCACCAGCAGCAGCCGAAGCACCATCAGCAGCAGCGGCACCAGTAGCACCAGCAGCGCCAGCAGCAGCTGCTCCAAAAGTGGGCGTGACTATACCGGTGGGAGTACACCCAGACCCATCGGAATAAACTGGGGGAATGGTGATTCTAGGGGGCGGAGCGGTGGAGTCTCCATCCCCAACAGCACTAGCAGCAGCAGAGCGATGCAGAGATAAGGAATTAGACGATATAATCCCGAATTTGTTCTCTTGAACAGGGAAGGACGAGGAATTCTGCAGCGTTGGCTGGGTGGCGGATCGGGATTTCATCACACCCCCTCCTCCTTCAATCACGCCAATGCTGCTAACCCCATCAACACTCCTGCTCTCACTAATCCCACCCCCACCACCAGTGCCAGCAGCAGCAGCGCCTGCTGCGCCCGCCGCTCCTGTCACATCCGACCCAATAAACAAGCTCTCCAACGGCCCACTCACGGCAGCAATGCTGCTGCTACTCGTGTTCGTGCTGCTGCTAGCAGTAGCCGTCAGCACAGCATCAGAGAGCGTGGATTGAGGGGTAGAACACCCCACAGGAGACAACAGAGACGAACCTGTCCCACCACCCATGGGAGACAACAGCGACGGACCAGGTCCACCACTCACTCCAACCCCTCCCCCACCGCCCGCTGCCCCACCTTCCGAACCTGCCCCCGAGGCTCGGCCCGAGCCTAGCGGCGAGGAGGCTCGGGCGGACAGCGACGCGTTGTACTCAATCAGCATCGGATCGTCAAACAGAAACTGGCTCGCCGCTCTCCCATGCTGCTTGTTAGCAGGGGAGGAAGGCGAGGGGGGAGGGCGAGCTCCTGACGGGGTAAACTTCCCTCCACTCACCTCCTCCCCCCCCCAACCCTTTGGAAAACAGATTCCCCTTAACCGAAAACGACCCCCCTCGACGGTTTCCTCCTGCGCCTGCCCCGAAACCTGCCCCGCTCCCACCTGCACCTGCTCCCGCCCCTCCTCCTCCCCGGGTTCTCGGGCTGGGGAGAATCGCGAGATTCTGCATGTGCAGTGCGGCTTTAAGAATGTGGAGATTGAGCTTTCGGTTGGATTTGGATAGGACGGTTGTGAATTCCTGTTCGAGCAGGTCTAGCGCGTGGGAGAGTGGCGCGTCTATGCAGGACAGGAGGGTTTGAATCTCGAGTAGGGGGTCTACGGCGGTTTGACTTGCTTGACTTGCTTGACTGGCAGACTCAGTTTGACCGGTTTGACCGGTTTGACTTGTTAGACCAGTTTCACTTGCTAGGCTTTTATCTGGTTCGTCCATAGAAAGTTGCTCCTCCAGCTGCTGCCACGGCAACAACTCTGGTGGTGGCGCTGCTGCTGCTGCTGCTGCTGCTGCTGCTAGCGGTGCTGTGAGCGGTGCTGCGAGCGGCGCTGCTGCTGCTGCCGCTAGTGACGTTTCCCCTGCTGCTGCACCTCCGCCTCCTTCCCTACCTGCCTCACCCCTCCCCCCTCCCCCTCCTCCACTCTCTTCCGCGCACTCAGTTCCCTCGGCTCTCTCAGTCCCCTGAGTTTCCCCTTCTGCGCGCAGGGCTCCCCCGAGGGGGGCGCGCGCGGCAGTGAGGCGCGCTTGGAGGTCCAGCAGGCGGGAGAGGGCGGGCAGGACGGCGTCCGCCTGCCGCCGGGGGTGGCGCGAGCAGACGCGCAACAGCTGGGGTGGAAGGGAGAGGGGGAAAGGGGGAAGGGGAAGAGAGGTTGGGGCCGGCAAGTAGGGCGGGTTGTTGGCGGATGCAAAAGGGTGTGACGTGGCAGAATGTGAGGGTTGGGGCTGACGTGGCGGTTTGGAATGGTACACGGGAGCGGCGCGTGACGAGGCGACGCGTCTCAGGTGGGTGGGGGGTGACGTGGCATGGGGTGGGAGGGTGTGACGTGGCACGTGGGGCTGGTTGTTGGTGGACGTGGCGGATGCAGGAGGGTGTGACGTGGCACGTGGGGCTGGTTGGTGGACGTGGCGGACAAGGAGGGTGTGACGTGGCACGTGGGGCTGGTTGGTGGACGTGGCGGATGCAGGAGGGTGTGACGTGGCGGAAGGTGAGGGTGGGGGATGACGTGACAGATGCAGGTGGGTGTGACGTGGCGGAAGGTGAGGGTTGGGGATGACGTGGCACCCTAAAAGGGTACACGTGAGCGGCGCATGACGAAGCGAGGCGTCTCAGGTGGGTGGGGGGTGACGTGGCTCTTGGTGGGGGGTGTGACGTGGCAAGTAGGGCGGGTTGTTGGTGGATGCAAAAGGGTGTGACGTGGCAGAATGTGAGGGTTGGGGCTGACGTGGCGGTTTGGAATGGTACACGGGAGCGGCGCGTGACGAGGCGACGCGTGTCAGGTGGGTGGGGGGTGACGTGGCATGGGGTGGGAGGGTGTGACGTGGCACGTGGGGCTGGTTGTTGGTGGACGTGGCGGATGCAGGAGGGTGTGACGTGGCACGTGGGGCTGGTTGGTGGACGTGGCGGACAAGGAGGGTGTGACGTGGCACGTGGGGCTGGTTGGTGGACGTGGCGGATGCAGGAGGGTGTGACGTGGCGGAAGGTGAGGGTGGGGGATGACGTGACAGATGCAGGTGGGTGTGACGTGGCGGAAGGTGAGGGTTGGGGATGACGTGGCACCCTAAAAGGGTACACGTGAGCGGCGCATGACGAAGCGAGGCGTCTCAGGTGGGTGGGGGGTGACGTGGCTCTTGGTGGGGGGTGTGACGTGGCAAGTAGGGCGGGTTGTTGGTGGATGCAAAAGGGTGTGACGTGGCAGAATGTGAGGGTTGGGGCTGACGTGGCGGTTTGGAATGGTACACGGGAGCGGCGCGTGACGAGGCGACGCGTGTCAGGTGGGTGGGGGGTGACGTGGCATGGGGTGGGAGGGTGTGACGTGGCACGTGGGGCTGGTTGTTGGTGGACGTGGCGGATGCAGGAGGGTGTGACGTGGCACGTGGGGCTGGTTGGTGGACGTGGCGGACAAGGAGGGTGTGACGTGGCGGAAGGTGAGGGTTGGGGATGACGTGGCGGATGCAGGTGGGTGTGACGTGGCGGAAGGTGAGGGTTGGTGATGACGTGGCGGTTAGAAATGGTACACGTGACCACTGCGCATGACGAAGCGAGGCGTGTCAGGTGGGTGGGGGGTGACGTGGCTTGTGGTAGGGGGGTGTGACGTGGCAAGTGGGCCGGGTTGTTGGTGGACGTGTCGGATGGCGCAGGGTGTGACGTGGCAAGTTCAAACAGTGTTGCTAGTCACCATCCCATGGTCATGCGGCCACCCTCATAACTGCTGGTTTCTCTCTTCCATGTCGTGTTGTATACCTTACACCCCTGCGCAGAACAAAGCCTACTTAGTGTGCTCTCAGCTCATGTTTCTGAACCCGCCGGAGAAAATACAGTACTACCCTGCACCGGAGGAAGTGTTCGAAGCGTTCTCTGTCCACTTGTCTGCAGAAGGGCTCGAGGCAATGAAGCTGCTGTGGTTGCACAATGACAAGTCAACCATGGGAGTCTTCAACCACCAGCTGTCCTCAACAAGGTCAACTATCAACTCCACCCTCAGGCCAGCAGCATACACCGGCATGGGCCTTGCCGATTACAGCCATCTCGTGGATAGCCTGCCCACTGAGCTACACCCAACGACCTGGTTCGACGACGATCAACTCCTAGCCGAGTACAGAGATGGTATGTGCAGTGCAACTCGAAAACACAATATGCCCTACCATATGCCCCTTGGCAGCTACATATCACCGTGCGATGTGGCTCACCCTGACTCTCATCCCCCCATTTGATTTCTCTACAAAACCCTTTCCAACCCATACCCTCCCTGCCAAAAAGCAGAACAGTGGGCCCTCAACTGGCACTTTGACAAGGCCACCGGGACACCCTTCAGCAACCCCTTGTTCGCTTATGCGTTCAAGCTCTCCTTCAAGAGGGGCGGGGCGGTGTTCACCAAGTTCAAGAGCCGCATGGTGGCATGGGGCCTGTTTTCGGTAAGGATGTAGATATGTGTTTGTACCCCCATGCCTCATCCCCTTAACCCCTTGCCTGTACTTCAGCTAAAACCCTGGTCGATTAGGCCTTTGCAGTTACGTAGATAGTGACGACTGCATCACCGCTTTCAGTTGCCTCATTTACCCGTAACCTACCCTCCTCATAAACCATCCACCCAACCCTACACCACATTGCAGATCGAATGGCCCCTTCTGCAGGATAAGCGTCGCAAGCGAATCAGTAGCCAGCCGGAGCAGAACAGGCCAGACTACCAGGAGTGGTGCGAAAAGGTCAAACAGATGATCCATTTTGCTGTCGTGGAGCGGAGGATCCCCCACGATCCGGCTATGGGTGCGTTCGTCTTTCCGAACAAGTTCCTCATCGACGACGGCGACCTTGGAGATGTCGTCCCTGCCCACCGGGCGCTTTCAAGGCCCGCCAGTGCGTAGGCTATTTGACCTGGTGCTAAGACTGCTTGTTGCTAGAATGCTGAATAATGGTTCTTGTAAACCGCAATAATAAATGCAATTTTGAAATCCTCAATATCCAAAATGAACAAAAACAGAATTTAGTTTTGAATAATTTGGTCACGAATTTGCAACAAAACGGATTGCGCCCGAATGTCATCCGGAAAAGCTCGCGTGCCAAATTGGAACTTGAACTGAGCCAAACCTTGTCGCGAGATGTGTCTCGGAGCTCCTATCAAATGACTCCAACCGTCGGTCCAAATTGGCTCCGGATTTTTTTACGCGAAGACAATCGAAATCAAAATTCGTCCAAACTTGGCATAGGGTTTTTGTGATGTTTGTGTGCGTGTCCCTTTTTCTTTTGGTGTGTATGCGTGTATGCATGCCCTATGATTATAACGAGCCTTGCTGTAGTATGGCAGGGGAGTGTTAGAGGGCCGTACGACAGCAAGGGCCCTCAACGACCTGGCAAGAGAACTGCGCCAAGAATGGTGCTGAAGACAGCAACGCAGAAAATGCGCTGATGTCGCGCGACTATTGCAGTGCCAACGAATTCCGTACTGGGGTGCTCCTGGTCTAGGGAAGTCGTGAGCACGATTCTTGGAAAGCGTGCCACTTCCTAGCAAGTCAGTGGGCGTCATATATGGTGTTGTTGAGTTGGAGTTGGTGTTGGCTGGGGTGGCGTGTGAAAGGCCATTTCACTGCTGAGTTGGGTTGGAAATTGAGCGTGGCGCATTCACCCACCCGCACACCACTTTCGTGGGGTTGGGTTACACCGAAGCGCCACGCAACCTTTTGTGAACTCTCGCCTGCCTATATGAACTTTGTGTGTTTGCTTTTGTATTTATCAATGATATTACAGTTCTACTTGGTTTCTTCCTTAGTCGTTTGAACACGAGCACAACCAAAACTCTACCGAGTTGGTGGCGCAACACCGTTCTCATAGCAGAAACTCTCTCGCTATCGCTACGATCTCTATAATATTCCTTCACAAGGAACTTTGTGCTTGGTTTTGTTTGGAATTTGTGAGTGTGTGTGAATGTTTTTTTTGTTTAAGCAAATATCTGAAAGAACTTCTCTGCCCAAGAGCTTTCCGACGAACCAAGAATCGTCGCGATCGGAGCACGGATGAGAAAGATATGAACGGTTAGAGTTTGTGTGCTTTTGATATATTCTTGCGACGACTTTGGGAGTTTGTAGAGTGAATCTATGTGGGGCATAGACCACTGGGAGTTTGGAAATTCGTCACCTTTACTTTTAGTTGTTGCCAAATGGTTGGGAGAAGCCAAACCAGGCTGGCAAGTGCGGCCAAGTTGGGTGAGGTGGATTGCATGGGTTGGGAAAGTTACATTAGTAAAAGTGGGGTTCCTACACGGAGGATATATGTTGGATGCACGTCATTCTGAGTGCATGTCATCCTAACGTCCTGCCAAGTGCTCGTGCTATTCATGCGTGCATTGTTTGCATGAGCATATGTCATTGTGCATGGCTGTTGGATATTATCATCTCTGTGTTTTTCTCCAAGTTTAAATGCTTGATCATGCAGGAGAAATCCAGAGCTTTCCAACGATACCAAGATCACCTTATTCCGACCAAGATCACCAAAGTTACAAGATTTCCAAGACTTGGATTTCTTATTACCTTTTGGGGTTATATCTTATTTGGGTGATTACTTGGGACAAGACTATAAAGGAATCTTTGGTTAGGTGGTTAGGAAAGGCAACCTTGACTTTTGAATTGGGGTGGCTAGAAGTTTCTAGCATGGGACACCTAGGCAAATTCCAACTAGATTGGATTTTGCATGTGACACCTCAAGGACCTCATGATGAGGGTTGCATCCTTGCTGCTAGGAAGGTTCCTACCATCCTTCCCTAGCTCTTGGAGAACCCCTTCTCTCTCATGGTTCTCTTGGAGTCCCCAACTCCAACTTTCTATGCCTACATGCTTGTACTCCCTCTACCATTCTAGTCATGCGGCTGCTGGACGTTTTTACTTGGTTTTCACTCTCTAGACCATCTTAACGACTGATTCAACTTGGAGATGGTAGCTGAGCCTAAAGCGCACAATCCTACTGAGCGGATTTGCGTTTAGTTGAGTAATAAGTTCGTCGTAAGCTCTCAAAGTGACGGATCCTGAACAACAAGTGGTATCAGAGCGGGTAGTCGACTTTGAGACAACGAATCGTCGTGAATTCTCGATCAATGTTGACGAGTGAGACATTTTCT